TACTTCATCCATTTATTGCTTAGGATAACATGAGGATACACATAATCCCAACAATCTCAAGAAGCATGCTTTCAAAGGTGATCAATCAAAGAAGAACATACATCAAGGATAGATTAATTTGGTGAATTGGAATTCATCAATTGTTGTCAAGAAACCAATTCACATGATGCTCACTTAAACAAGTTCAATCATTTGTTGCTAATTAGAAATTATGTTCTTGGTTATCTTACACAACTTCTCAACTTTAGCTACATGCATACAACCTAAGGTGATTAAGCAAAGGAAGCAAACACATATCATAAGATTCAATTAGTGAATGCGGTTCATCAACAACATCTAGAACAATATCTAGAAATTCATACACTCAAGTATCAAAACAATAAGGTAATCATGTTTAGGGCTTCAACCCAAGCCCTAGCTATGGAGTTAAGTTGCTCATACTTATTCCAAATACAAATTCGAAATATAACTAGAAAGAAGTTACAGATTTTGTGAACATGGGAGCTCAAGGTCTTCAATGGTGGAAATCTCTTCCACTTCTTGCTTTGTTGCCCTTGTCTTCCTCCTTGAGCTCCTTAGCTCCAAGCTTCATCTCCAGCTCCAAAGTCTCTGCAAAAATTATGGAATAAATCTGATTGCAATAGCTGATGCTCTTTGCACTCCTCTATCCTCCTTTCCAGCTTTTCCAAAATATCTTTTAATATAAAACAATTACTTTTGTTAAAGCCTTAAGCCTTGTCTCCTTGCCATGATGGCTCTTTTGTTATTGTCTTCACCAAGATGCTCTTTGTTTCAGATAATATCTCTCAACCAAAGTAATTTCTTGTTACCAAGTGTTATGGTAACAAGAAGAATCAAGATAACATTATGGAGGTAAAAAACTGGCCTACTTCGGATTTCCAGAGCTGCTGTAACATATAGGATCAGTTGGATAGGCTAAACTTGTCCAATGGAGCTCAAATTTGGATATGTTGTAGTTAACATCCATTGGAACAAGTTTCATGAAGATCTTCACCCCATCCGAGCATTGGAGCATTCTGATCCAAGGCCAAAAAGTTGACCTACGAAAATGAACAAAATCAGAATTTATAACCAATAATGCACTTTTAGCTCATTTTCATTCTAACCAAGGTAAAATCTAAGAAAACACAAAAAGGAAGTAAAAAGCTATAAAATGTCAAGAAATAACTCAAAATAATAGGTGAATAACATGAAAAATCATGTGTAAAAATGAACCGAACATATAGTCATTGATGGTTGTTTATTTAACAATCTGAAAATAGTAAACGATGGATTCACAATCATCAGTGCCTGTGAATAGGGTGACTAAGAATCCTCATGACGAGAAGCCCGAGAAGTTCAAGGGAATTGACTTCAAGAGATGGCAACAGAAAATGTTGTTCCATCTCACAACCATGAATCTGGCACATGTTGTTAGAGAGGAGGCTCCTAAATCGGGAGAAAATCCAATGTCCAAGGAAACAATGATGACCATTGAGGCTTGGAAACAATTTGATTTCCTATGTAGAAACTACATCCTTAACAGACTTGATGATACTCTGTATGACATTTATTCGTCATATAATTCTGCAAAGGAAGTTTGGGAATTACTTGAGAAAAAATACAAAACAGAAGATGATGGTGCCAAAAAGTTCGTGATTGGCAAATTTCTCAAGTATGCCATGGTTGATTCGAAGACTGTTATTAAACAGGTTGAGGAACTTCAAATTCTGATCCATGATTTGCTTGCAGAGGGGTGTTCTATTAATGAACACTTCCAGGTTGGAGCAATCATAGAGAAACTGCCTCCATCATGGAAAGACTTCAAAATTTACTTGAAGCACAAGCGCAGAGAGATGTCTATGGAGGATATGATTTTGAGGCTTAAAGTTGAGGAGGATCACAGGAAAGGTGACAAGGGTGAAGTGCCTGTCATGGAAGCCAAAGCCAATGTCGTTGAGACATCAAAGCCAAAGTTCCAGAAAAACAAGGGCAAGAAAGTTGCAAAGAATTATGCCAATCCTCATGCACCAAAAGGCAAGGATTTCAAGAAAATCAAAGGCGCTTGCTAGGTATGTGGAAAATCAGGGCATAAAGCACAAGATAGCCGCCACCAAAGAGACCAAAATCCAACCAATCCTCAGGCCAACGTGACTGAAGTCAATGAGGATTTTGTGGTTGTAGTGTCTGAAACCAATATGGTTCCTGATACTAAGGACTGGTGGGTTGATACAGGTGCTACTAGGCACATTTGTGGTGACAGAAATCTGTTCACTGATTATAAACAGAATTCTGGTGGTGAGAAACTGTACATGGGAAATGCCTCTGTATCTGCAATTGAAGGCAAGGGTAGTGTGCTGCTAAAGTTCACTTTTGGGAAGGTTTTAACCCTTTTGGATGTGCTGCATGTTCCTGAAATTAGGAAGAACTTAGTGTCTGGCCCTATTCTTAGCAAGAATGTTGGGGTCTTTTTCCGTCGGAAGGCCCATCTGGGCTTGTTGATTCTTGGACCGTCATAGAGTGGCGGATCAAGCCTTCGTTGCCCCTTTTTCTGAGTTAGGGAGGACTAGGCCCAAAGTATCCCGAGGGAGAAGCAAGTCCCGAGGGAGTACTTTGTTTTTCTTCCATCGGCTGCGTGTTTTGCACTGACGTTTCCAGCAGCTTGACGAAGAGTTGAACATGATGTTGAACTGAGATTGTGTGAGCTTGGCATGAGAGCTTGGAGTGTGGGAGCTAAAGACCCACAAGTTTAGCAAATGAGAATATGCATATGCTTGGCTTGGTGTTGGATATGCTTGAATTTGGGTGTTGAAAATTTGTTGTTTGTGGCTATGGCTATGGGGATTTAAGAGTTTCAAGAGGAGGATGAGAGGAAAAGCTTGAGATTTGAAGGCTATGATGTTTATAACTTGAAAGGAAGGAAAAGCTTAGAATTATGCTTGGTGTGGCTTTATAGATTCAAGAGTTTCAAGATAAGGAGGATGGGAGGAAAATCTTGAGATTTGAAGGCTATGGTGTTTATAGCTTGGAAGGAAGAAAAAGCTTAGAATTATGCTTGGTGAGGCTTTATAGATTCAAGAGTTTCAAGAGAAGGAGGATGGGAGGAAAAACTTGAGATTTGAAGGCTATGGTGTTTATAGCTTGGAAGGAAGGAAAAGCTTGGAGTTATGCTTGGTGAGGCTTTATAGAGGAGATGGATTTCAAGGGTGAGAAAGTAGGAGACATGGCTGTGATGGTTGAGGATTGGCTGGGATGGCCGCTGGAATGCTTGCAGCAGCTAAAGGGAAGAAGGAAAGTGGCTTGATGGTTGCTGAGGTGCTTAAGAAACCAAAGGGAAGAAGGAAAGTGGCTTGATGGTTGCTGAGGTGCTTAAGAAACCAAGAGATGTTGGTCGATGGCTGCTAGGATGCTTGCAGTAGCTGAATGGAGAAAGGAAGATGAGTTCTCATGATTGCTGAGAAGCTTGCAGCAACCAAGAGAGGTAGATTTTGCCCAGCAAATGCCTCCCAATTTATAGAGGGTGATGGTTTTCCTTGAGTTCCAATAGGTAAAGGGAGGTGCTGGAACCAACCTATTTCCAATGGTTAAAAGGGAGCACTGGGGCATGCTATTTTCCAGTAGGTGAAGCTAGGTACCATAAACTGATTAAATCCTATGGGTAAAAGGAAGTGCTGGAAATGACTTGTTTCCAATGGGTAAAGCTAGGCATTTGGAAAATAACTATTTCCTATGGGTAAAAGGAAGTGCTTGAAAAATATCTCATTTGCTCACCCATATTGGAGAACTCTAAGTAAGGGGCTTGGACTTTGGTGCTCCCAAGTAACTAGCCCAAAGCCTCCATTATCCAAGAGCTTCCGTGGGCCTTGTGGACCTTAGTAACCTTCCACACCACAATCCCTCATGCAAGCCCCGTAAACCACATGACTTGGGTTCATGTGAGTTTGATAGGTGATTGACATATGAAAAATGTATTATTGGCTTGGCATGGCATGCACATTATTTCTATATTTATTTAATAAATTAATTCCCAAAATACAGCTTAGATTAATGCATGACCAATATTATATGTTATATTGGGCTTATAACGTCTTTGGGCTTCCCGTGACTTTTTTGGGCCTCAACAAAGGGTTTCAAACTTGTATTTGAATCTGACAAGTTCATCCTAACCAAATGAGGGCTATTTGGAGGAAAATGTTACCTTGCTGATGGCTTGTTCAAACTCAATGTAACTGGCAATGATGCTTTTAATAATATAAATAAGGTTTCCGTTTACTTTGCTGAGTCTTCAAATATTTGGCATGCTAGATTAGGTCATATAAATTATCGATCTATGCATAGAATGATGCATCTAGGTTTATTGCCTAAATTTGATATTGACTTTAATAATAAGTGTGAAACTTGTACAGAATCCAAGTTTTCTAGGCAAACCTTTAAAACTGTTCAAGGAAGGTCAAATGAATTACCTGGATTAATTCATAGTGACCTTTGTGACTTTAAATCCACACCAACTCGTGGTGGGAAAAATTATTATATAACATTTATAGATGATTGCAGTAAGTATTGTTATGTATACTTTATACATAGCAAGGATGAAGCCTTACAGATGTTTAAAACATACAAGGCAGAAGTTCAGAATCAACTTGATAGAAAAGTGAAAGTACTTAGATCAAATAGAGGTGGAGAATATGAGTCCACTACATTTTCTGATTTTTGTACAACTCATGGAATTATACATCTAACCAATGCACCATATACACCGCAAAAAAACGGTGTAGCAGAAAGGGAAAATAGAACTTTCAAGGATATGATAAATTCCATGTTGAATAGCTCTGGGCTTCCGCACAATCTGTGGGGTGAAGCCTTACTTACTGCAAATCACATTTTGAACAGAATTCCACATAAGAAGACTAAACAATCTCCTTATGAAGTGTGGAAAGGATGAATTCCTACATACAAGACATTGAAAATGTAGGGTTGCCTAGCTAAAGTACAAGTACCCTTACCAAAGAGGGTAAAACTTGGACCTAAAACTATTGATTATGTTTTCATAGGTTTTGCTAACACAAGTGCTGCATATAGATTTTTAGTTATTAAATATGATATTTCTGATATACATGTTAACACAATTATAGAATCTGTTGATGCTGATTTCTTTGAGGAAATTTTTCCTTACAAAGAAAAGAGGTCCGATTCAAATAAGAGGAAAGTACTTGATGGAAATCCTGATGAACCATCCTCTTCAGCTGTCCAAGAAAAAGACTTGGAACCTAGAGGAGGAAAGATGACAAAAACACCAAAAAGTTTTGGCCAAGATTTTGTGAGTTTCCTGACTGAAGAAGAACCACAAACTTATAAGGAAGCTATGGCTTCACCTGAGGCTCCTTTATGGAAGGAAGCTATTAATAGCGAAATAGAATCCATTATGCAGAACCATACATGGGAATTGGTTGATTTACCACCTGGTAACAAACCAATTGGATATAAATGGATTTTTAAAAGAAAGCTAAAAGCCGATGGTACTATTGATAAATACAAGGCATGTTTAGTTGCTAAAGGGTATTGGCAAAAGGAAGGGTTGTATTATTTCGACACTTATTCTCCAGTATCAAGAATTACATCTATAAGGATGTTAATTGCTATAGCTGCTATACATAATATGGACATACATCAAATGGATGTAAAAACAGCTTTCTTAAATGGAGAATTAGATGAAGAAATATACGTGGAACAACCAGAAGATTTTGTGGTAAAAGGTCAAGAAACTAAAGTTTGTAAACTTGTTAAGTCTTTATATGGACTTAAACAAGCTCCAAAACAATGGCATCAAAAGTTTGATCATACAATGATGTCACATGGATTTAAAATCAATGAATGTGACAAGTGTGTTTACATAAAGAACAACAAGAATTCTTGTGTTCTTGTATGTTTATATGTTGATGACATGCTCATAATGGGAACAAGTAAGGATGCAATAAATTCTACAAAGAAGATGTTGAATTCAAGTTTTGACATGAAAGACTTAAGGTCAAGCTGATGTCATTCTGGGAATTCAAATAAAAAGAAATAGTGATGGGTATATTCTTACTCAATCCCATTATGCAGAATTTTTTTTAAGAAAGTTTGGTCAATTTGACTGCAAACCAGCGGTGACTCCTTTTGATGTAAATTGCAAGTTAAAGAAGAATAATGGAGATGCAATTTCCCAATTGGAGTATTCCCAAGTAATTGGGAGCCTAATGTATTTAATGAATTCTACTAGGCCAGACTTAACTTATTCAGTAAGCAGGCTTAGTAGATACACAAGCAATCATGGACATGATCATTGGGAGGCATTAATCAAGGTGTTAAGATATTTGAAATACACCCAAGATTATGGATTGCATTATACAAAATATCCACCAGTTCTAGAAGGCTATAGTGATGCAAATTGGATTTCTAACAGTATAGAAACCAAATCAACTAGTGGATATGTATTTACATTAGGTGGAGTTGCAGTATCTTGGAAATCCTCTAAACATACGTGTATATCACGTTCTACAATGGAATCAGAGTTTGTAGCCTTAGATAAAGATGCTAAAGAAGTAGAATGGCTGAGAAACTTCCTAGAGGACATTCCAATGTGGCCTAAGCCTATGACAGCAATTTGTATACACTGTGATAGTATGGCAGCACAAGCAAGAGCCAAGAGTGGTGTATACAATGGAAAGTCAAGACATATCAGGCGTAGGCATAATACAATTAGACAATTGCTCTCAAATGGAATTATATTCATTGACTATGTAAAGTCAAAGGAAAATATTGTAGATCCCTTGACAAAAGGCCTACGAAGAGAGCAAATCAAATTTACATCGAGGGGAATGGGATTAAAGCCAATCCAATGAGTCAAACCTGGCGAAAACCTAACCTAGTTGATTGGAGATCCCATGGTCTAGGTTCAATAGGCAAACTGATTGGGTAAGATTCAAAAAGTTGAACACACAATTCAACTCATTCCTATGATGGTTAGTGTGTTTTCTGTTGATGTGTAGGTTATGCTTTGCATTTAATGACACTAATATCTTATTAAGAGGAGGCAGAAAACTCTTAATTGGTGTCACCTATATGGGAGTAAATGTGGGGTCACATTTATGAGAATGTAAAAAGGCTAAGTTCTCTAAAGCTCTCATGAAACCCGGGATATGTTCATGACCAAAATGAACAAAAACGTATGAACTAACGTTTGTTAAGATGTTATATGTGTGAGACATATTGTCTAGGTTTACTATAGCGGTGAACAATTCAAGATCAATTATATCCATTGCGTCACCAAGTAAATTTGATATGTTTTCACTAGGGTAAGTTCAAGTCCAAAAGACACTTTTCCTGATGCATATAACATATACTTCCTCTCAAATGCATTACATTCATTTAGCACTATAAGTATAACATTTCAAATGTGGGGTCTAGAATTTTGATTCAAATGTGGGGTATTGTTGGAAGTTTGAATGAAATTCAAGAACTTTTGTCCCACATTGGTAGA